TCTGCTTGTGCAAATCCTCCAGGGCCTTGACGAAGCCCTCGGCGAACTCCTGCTCCTCGCTGGCCGCCACCTTGGGGTAGAGGAACTGCGTGCTCGTCGGCGTGGTGGTGACCAGCCCGTTGGACTGGATGATGAGGCGCTCGAGCTCGGGGGAGGCGAGCTTCAGCAGCCCCAGGTCGGGCGAGGCGAGAAGGCCGTCGGGGGGTGCCGCGCTGGGGGCGCCGTCGGCGCGCAGAGGGGTCGGAGGCGGCGCGGCCGTGGGCTTGAGTGCCGCCGCCACCTGCTCGCTCAGGCTCAGCGTCAGCGCGTCCTTCTTCATCATGCTGCCGGCCGCCGCCGTCGGGGGCGCCCCCGGGAACAGGCGGCCCGGAGACGCGAAGCTGCCGCCGCTGCCACTGGCGCCGCCGCCCAGGCCGCTCAGCGCCTCATCGCCGTAGAAGGGTGTTTCCATCCTCCGCCTCCCCCGCCGCGCCGGCCCGGGGGGGAGTGGCCGCGGCCTCCCGGGGGGCCCGCGCCCCCCCCGTCCGCTCGGCCCTGCGCCCGCCCCGGCCGCGGCCGCTGCGCCCGGCCCTCCGCTGGCGGCGGCTCCTGCGCCGCGCGGCTTGTGCGCCCTCTTATAGCCTCGGCTCCGCGCGATGAGCTCACCGCCCCCGCTCGCCATTGGGCGCGGGTGACGTCGCTCATTTGCATGGAGGGGAGGGGCCAAGCCGCCGACGCCCGCCCGGCCGCCGTTGCCCCGACGACGCGCGGTAAACGGCACAACAGCGCGCTGCCTTGTGGGTTGACGTCATGGGGGCAGGCCGCGCGCCCGGGCCGGGTCACCCCGCCCCGGGACCGCTGTGTACGACCGATCTCCTCGGCGCCGCCTCCACCAAGGCACATCCCGGGTGGCGTGATGGGCCCGGGAGCCCGCCCGCCCCGAGGCCCCGCCCCGTGTCCGCGCGTGGGGCCCCGGCTGGGCGGGGGCGGGGGCGGGGGTGGTGCCGCCCTCCGGGGACTGGCGGGGGATGGGGTCCCGCATGGTTAAATAACTCCTTGGCGCCTCCCCTAGCGCGCCTTCTGGAGAGGCTTTGTGTACACTCGGGGTTGGAGGCCTGCTGGGGCTGTGTCCGGGGGCTCGCCGGGGGTGTGGGGCAGGTCTGAGTTCCCCACCCTCCCTTCTTTCCTCTCCCTCTCCACCCCGCTTGTGATTGCTCCGGGAGAGACGGGGGAAGGGAGGGGAGGGGAGGGGAGGGTCGCCAGAAGTTGCTGGAAGCGCTTGGATCCTGATCATTTTCACTGAGTGCGTTCTAGAACCAGGAGTCCGACTTCCTGCCTTTACAGATGGGAAACTGGGTTCAGAGAGGTGGAGTGACCACCCCCCCACCCCGAGTTAGCTAGGAGTCACAGCAGGGCCAGGGCTGTGGCTAGGCTGAGCTCTCTTCCACCCTGAGAACCCTAGAACCTGGGAGTCCAGGCCCCTGCGCAGCCCCTTCTCTCCGCCACCCACGTTTTAACCCCGGGTCTGCCAGGGCTGTGATGTCCTGGGCGAGGGTGCCCAACTCCAGGGGCTGGGCTGATGAGGCAGGAATGCCAGCTAGTAATTATTATATGTTTGTTACCACTATTAAGGCTGGCTGGAAAGGGGGTGTGAGGGAGGAGAGTGGACCCACCCCTCCAGCACTCCAGATCCTTAGGACATCTGGATCTGACGTGCAGCCTCTGCATGCCCCCCTCCAGCTCCCCACCTCTGTCCGAATGGAACCCACACCCTCCTTTTCCCTGAGCACCTTCCCCTCACTCTCTCTGAGCCTTGGCCTCTCAGTTGCAAAACTGGTCCTACGTCTGGGCCTTTGTGCGGGCTATCTGTCCTGTACTCCATCCCCCCCCCCCCCCCCGGTGCAAAGGTGTGTCTTCAGCTAGTGCCCCGCCCCCAGACTTTATTCCTTTATTGTAGCCTCTGAATCTGCCAGAATGATGGGGTGGACCATAGTCCCTGGAGGTCAGGGACATTGTCTATGCTGAGCCTGCTGACAGGGCATAGTAGAGAATGGATGCTTGGTATTAAAGGTGAATGCGGCGCCGGTCGCGGTGGCTCATGCCTGTAATCCCAGCACTTTGGGGGGCCGAGGCGGGTAGATCACTTGACGTCAGGAGTTCAAGAGCAGCCTGGCCGACGTGGTAAAACCCTATCTCTACCAAAAATACAAAAATTAGCTGTGTGTGGTTGTGTGCACCTGCAATCCCAGCTACTCAGGAGGCTGAGACATGAGACTCCTGTCTCAAAAATAGTAATAATCATAAAGGCGTGACCTGGCAGGTGTGGGATCTGAATTGCCAGGGCAGGGAACTGGGGGAGTGGGTTTGTTTTGTCTCCAGATAGTAAAGGAGGTATCTGTGCCTGCTGGAGTGTGTGTCTATGTGTGTACCTGTGTCTGTCTATTTTTGTGTTGTATAGACAGACACAGGTACGCACACACAGATACACACTCGGACGCATGGGTCTCTGTGCTCTCTAGCCCAGGTTCTAGCCTGGACAAAGAGATCCCTAGTGGGTAAGATCCAGCCCGGAGACCTGTAGCCAGCCCTGCCCTGGGAACCCCTCTCTGGGCCTCCAGCAGTGGGGCCAGAGTGGAGGAGGGGAGGTCATGCCCCTCCCTGAGGCAAGAGGTGAGTAGGCAGCCTCCAGAGGCGCTGCCCCGACCTTGGGCCTCAGCCTTGGCAGCTGGGGGGATGGTCTGGTGAACTCTAGGCTGAGCCAGCCTGAGCTGAATGGTGCCCTTTCCTGGAGGCAGGCAGGTGAGATGCCAAGGCCTGTTACCTCTTTGAACCTATTTCTCCATCATGAAAATGGAGCAAATAAACCTACCTACTTGTGGGGTATTTCGATTTTTATTGGATTTGAAGAATTAGTAAGGGGTGAATAAATGTTTTCTATGATTGTATTATTCAGCCCAACTTAACTGCAGTTCTTTGCTTTTGAGTTCTCTCAGCGTGGAATACCCTTACTTACACTTCTGGCAAACTCCTATGCATCCTTCAAAACCTACCACAAGTGCCCCCTTTTCCAAGAAACCCTTCCTGACCATGTCCCCTATCTGTGTCTTGTTCTGTCTCCTTGATAGAAAGGGAGGAGAGGTCTTTGGCCTGGATGGGGAAGGCCTGTCCTGGCCTCTAAGTGTGGGAAGCTGCCCTTGCCACCCCCAAGGGCTCCTTTTACTTTGTTCTTTTTTTTTTTTTTAAACAGTTTCGCCCTGTCGCCAGGTGCCAGGCTGGAGTGCAATGGCGCAATCTCGGCTCACTGCAACCTCTGCATCCTGGGTTCGAGCAATTCTCCTGCCTCAGCCTCCCAAGTAGCTGGGATTACAGGCACGCACCACCATGCCCGGCTAATTTTTGTATTTTTAGTAGAGACGGGGTTTCACCATGTTGGCCAGGCTGGTCTCGATCTCTTGACCTCCTGATCCGCCTGCCTCAGCCTCCCGAAGTGCTGGGATTGCAGGCGTGAGCCACTGCACCCAGCCTCGTTTTTATTTTTCTTTGCATTTGCTATTGCTCCAGCTCCATGCCCTTTCCCACCCTCTTCTTCCTCCTCCCAGCCAGAGCGCCCTCCGGAACCCCCCCATTCCTGCCCTTCCATTTGTCCCGGCCCTGACCCCACAGCAGCTGTTGGTCCAGCTCTGTCCTCCCAGAATGGGGGCTCCTCAGGGGCAGATCTGAAGCCACTTGGCTTCAACTGGAGAGAACTCTCATTCATTGACTCCACATACACTGATTGAGCTCCTGCTGTAAGCCAGGGGAAAGGACCCACATGAGCCAGACCAACACCAAGACTCCTGTCTCTTTCAAAAAAAAAGCTAAATTGCTTTGTAGTCGGGCAGGATGGTTCATGCTTGTAATCCCAGCTCTTTGGGAGGCAGAGACCGGAGGATCTCCTGAGCCCCGAGGTTCAAGAGCAGCCTGGGCAACATAGTGAGACCCCATCTCTACTAAAGGATGGAAAAATTAGCTGGGTGTGGTGAGCACTGCAGCTTCACAGGCCCCCGAACCAAGGGACAGCCAGACCAGCACAGTTTTCAGGAGAATTGATAGTGTCCCTGCCATAGCAGATAATGGAGGGGCTGATGTTTAGAGTTGGGTAATCCGGGAGGGTGGCCCGGGACTTAACGCCACATGAACGACAAGCCGGACCTAATTGCCAAATATTGGGGAATTAGAGCGTTCTGGTAGTGGGAACAATCAGTTCAAAGGCCCTTGGGCAGGAACCAGTTGGACACATTTCTAGAAGGTTCGGAGGCAGGTGGGACTGGACTGGGAAGCCAGTGAGTGTCAAGGGAAGAGAAGGGGAGTGCCCAGGCCTCCACCTCTGCTCAGGAGGGGTTTGCCCCCAAGGCAGTGAAAGTTGCAGACAGGGCTGGGGCATCAATAGGGCTCGGCCTGGGAATCTGTATTTTCGCCTTTATCCCTGTAGCAGCTCCACCAGCGGTGAGGGATGTTATCCCATTTCTTGGAGCAGTGTCTGGAGGGGGCACACGACGTGCCCAGGCCAAAGAGAACCCTACCTTCCAAACAGAAGCCGAGCCTGACGCCCCACTGGCACCAGGGTTTGAATCTCTACGGCGGCTGCAGTCCTTCCCCAGCACAAAGAGATTTTTTTTTTTTTTTTTGAGACGGAGTTTCACTCTCGTGGCCCAGGCTGGAGTGCAATGGCGCGATCTGGGCTCACCACAACCTCCACCTCCTGGGTTCAAGCGATTCTCCTGCCTCCCGAGTAGCTGGGATTACAGGCGTGGTGACGCCTGGCTAATGTTGTATTTTTAGTAGAGACAGGGTTTCTCCATGTTGGTCAGGCTGGTCTCGAACTCCCGATCTCAGGTGATCCGCCCACCTCAGCCTCCCAAAGTGCTGGGATTACAGGTGTGAGCTACGGCGTCCAACTGAGATTTCTTGTTTAAAGCAACCTGCAGACCAGGCACAGTGGTTCATGTCAGCAATCCCAGCACCATTTTGGGAGGCCAAGGAGGGAGGATCACTTGAGCCCAGGAGTTTGAGACCAGCGTGAGCAATGTAATGAGACCTCTTCTCTACAAAAATAAAAATGTTAGCCAGGAATGGTGGCACATGTCTGGGGCCCCAGCTACTCTGGGAGGCTGAGGTGGGAGGATGGCTTGGGCTCGGGCAAGTTGAGGCTGCAGTTTAATTTTTAGTCTTTATTTGAACACCCAGAAACCAAAAATCGCCTTGTTAAATCGGAAAGCCCCAAAGAAAAAGGAGTTAAGCAGGCAGCCGAAAGGGTGAGGTGGAGGGGGCCTCTGTGTTGGGTGTAGGACCTGCTGGGCTTGGTCCCTAGGCACTCAGGACCCCACAGCGGGGAGGTGGGGCTTGTGAGGGCCCTAAGCAGGCACTTAGGACCCGCGGGCTGGTAGGGGCGGGGCTTGCAGGGAAAGTGCCCAGACCTCCGAACCCCCGCAGGGCGGCCGGGGGCGGGGCGCCAGGCTCGAGCTGGGGGCGCTGTCTGGCCCGGTACATTCCTGAGGATCAAGTTACTCAGGAAGGCTGAGGCCTCTCTGTTCCCCTCCTGCCCGCCTTTCGTCCTCTCCACAAGCAGGAACCGCAGTCTGTCCCCAGTCCAGCGCAGGTGTCTGCCCAGCCGCGAGCGGAGGGGAACCAGGCCCTGCCCTCTGGACTGGCAGCGGCCCCATCCTGCCTCCTAAAATCATTTTACAGATGAGGAAACTGAGGCACAGTCGGTCTCTCCTCCCCCACCTTCAGCATCGATGCAACCAGATTGAACCTCCTTCTGCCAGGTTTATGACCTTTTTTACTAACTGGGCAGGCCTCGAAAAACGGCTCAGTCCAGTGTTTGTTGACTGACTTACTGACCATCTAGAACCAGCCCCCAAACCCTCTCTTATTATAGCACAAGGAGAAAAGAACTTCCCACACCACTTACCCTCCTACCTCTACCCCAGCACAGGCAGAACCCCTGCACTTATCCAGCATGCATTTAATGTGCACTTGCTGTGTGCCAGGCCTAGGTTCGGCCATTTCACAGGTGGATATTGAAGAGGGTTTGGGGGTCAGAGGGTAGTGAATTTGCTTTCTTTAGACCAACTTCAGAAATTGGTTTGGGCCAATTCTGGCACTTTGGCTCACCCCGGTAATCCCAGCACTTTAGGAGGCCGAGGCAGGAGGATTCAAGCATTCAAGACCAACCTAGACAACATAACAAGACGCCTGTCTCTTTAAAAAAAAAGATAAATTGCTTTGTAGTCCGGGCAGGGTGGCTCATGCTTGTAATCCCAGCTCTTTGGGAGGCAGACAGGAGGATCTCCTGAGCCCAGAAGTTCAAGAGCAGCCTGGGCAACATAGTGAGACCCCATCTCTACAAAAGGATGGAAAAATGAGCTGGATGTGGTGACCTGTGGCTGTAGTCCACCTACTTGACAGGCTGAGGTGGGAGGCGCACCTGAACCTGCGGAGCATAAGGCAGCAGTGAGCTATGATCACGCCACCACACGCCAGCTTAGGTATCCGAGTGAGACCCTGTCTCAAAAAAATAAAAAAGTTGATATGTTTTTTGTGTTTCTTAGTTGTTTTGGGCCAAACTCACATACCATCATTCATGGATTCGACCATGCTTTTTTTTTTTTTTTTTTTTTTTGAGACAGAGTCTCACTGCGTCTCCCAGGCTGAAGTGCTGTGGCACGATCTTGGTTCACTGCAATCTCTGCCTCCCGGGTTCAAGCGATTCTCGAGCCTCAGCCACCGGAGTAGCTGGGATCACAGGCATGCGCCACCACACTGGTTAATTTTTGTATTTTTAGTAGAGACAGGGTTTCTCCATGTTGGCCAGGCTGGTCTCGAACTCCTGACTTCAGGTGATCCGCCAGCCTCCGGCTCCCAACGTTTTGGGATTACACGCGTGAGCCGGGCCACCCGGCGACCATGCTGGACAGGTGGGTTCTCACCTCCCGGACCTGGTGTTCTGGGGGACTGGAAGCAAGGTCACGATCGAAGAGCATGCTGTAGGTTGGTCTGTTTTCCTCTAAGTTGGTCCCCTTTTCTGTTTTTACTTCAGTAAATATATTTCAAAAGGAAACCTTCATGTCACCACCAAGAATGGAAAACCAGTTTCTCTTGCTATAAATAGAAGGAAACCAAAAAACTATGAATGAGAGCAAAGACAGGCATTCCCTCCTCAGGAGCACTCCGGGCTGGGGCTGGACCTTGAATTTCTGCGTGGTATCAAAGGCAGGGGAGCCTTTGATCCTGCCCAGGCAGAAGGGCAGGAGAGGTCACAGGGACCGCCCGTTGATTTGTTAGCATGGAACCCATTATTGTGGGTGCCCCCCCACCGTGATGTGTGGGTTTTGCCTGCATGCGACCACATACTGGTGGCTTTTCCAGGTCCTGAGCCATTTCCTGGCTGACAGACTGAGGGCTGGGTGGTGCATGAATGGGGAGGGGCGGGGAGGTGGCAGGCAGCTGCCTCTTGAGCAGGGGACCCTACGGGGCCTCTCTGGGGAGGTTTTGGTTTGGTTTGATGACATGCCAGGAGGCAGCTCGGGGCAAACGTTTATTTGCAGCCTTGGGGCTGTCCCCACCCACGGTCCTGTGGGCCCTGACGTCTGTCCCCACTGAAATGTGGGCCCCTGTGGCCCACCAATCCCCCCCCCACCAGGCTCTCTGTGGTGTTTGAATCCGTGAATGAGTGAATGAGTGAAGGGGAAAATGCCATAAGTAGCATAACGGACAAGTTCTTGAAATAATAACTCCGTGACAGAATGAATGAATGAACGGAAGTATTCATGCTGCCAAGATCCGAACCCATTCTCCATCCAGGTATTCTTTTTTTTTTTGAGACGGAATCTTGTTC